AAGGCTATACACGAGCACGCAGTACCAATACTACGGTCTTATGGTACGATATACCTCTGTCGACAAATCTTATACTTCACCGATAAAGACTAAAGCTTTCGACTACGAGGACTATAATCCATTTAGAGAGGAAGATTTGAAGTGCTTTCAATTCTTCAACAGTCTCTTCCTCATATACCATCGTCTAATGCAAATTCGCATCCTAGAGGACAACCCCCCTCTGAAGAAACAAGACGCCTATGAAGATGATACGGAATACTGGAGTTTGTTTGAGAAATTCAACGCGGGCATTCATAAGCTTGAAGACGAATGGAGTTCAGTTGATGAGAAGTTAAAAAATACGCACACGAATCATGGAGAGCACCATTTATACAATCTGCTGTATCTCAAGAAAGCAAGAGGCACTTTTAGCGCCTTTGTGGAGAAAATGAAAATGGTTCTACTGCAGGGAGGCTGCCTAAACTTTGTGCTATTGATCTCGATGGTCCATCAATGGTGGATATTTTATGGAATACATGTTAGACCAAATGTCAGGGTATGGATCAGGCATAAGATTCAGCGTTACAAGGAGACGCTGTCGGACAACAAGACTGAAAGAATCGAAAATGTGATGGTTTTTTGGCCAGTTTTTGCAGCGAAAATCCAACAAGAGTACATGAGACCGAGAACGGATGTTGCTAGCATCCATAACTTTGATCAGTTGATCCGTGATCTAACTATAGACGTTAAATACACTGAGAACAGATAGTCCAGCCATGGTGTACAAGTATCATATGAACGGTGTCTTGAGTTTGTATCTATATGCTGTTATTACCGAGTCTAAGTCTTTTTAATGTAGCACCACTATATCTCGTAGTATTTTCTTGTCTCGCATACCCTCTTCAATCGTTATCTAGCAATCGTACTCTCAATCCAAGCACGAGGAAATTCCGGATTAGGAAAAACAAAATTCGGCTGGACACAAGACAAGATGTTTTCTGTGCCTGAAGGCTGAAGGATTGTCCCTGCACATATATCGATAACTCGTGCCTAGAGTCTAATGCTATAAATGCTAAACGCATTGATGTCCTTCAGCACCTCTCACTTCCCAATACCCAACACTCAACATGAACCCTTCCACCGTACTCCTTCTCCTAGCGACCTCAACATTCGCCCAGGTCAGCGCAGGCGTAGTGAAGCCACCGACTAATAACGCTTCCTTGAACCACTTGCCACCTGCCGATGCAGCCTGGCTTCCCGTTCCCTACGAAATGATTTTCAACTCCACTCAGAGGAAAGGCTCCGAGATCTTCCGCGGCAGCAACTATCTCTGCCAGACCTCCAATGCCTCGCCGCTCGTCGCTGATCTGGTCCCCTGCGTTGCTTGGCTTGATCGGCAGCCGGACTGGAAGGCGTGTCGCCAGAACAACCCTTGGGGCAGCAAATGCACACAGATGGTCAGCTATAGGGGTGCTGCGCTGGGTGTTTGTGGTGAGTCTCCAGTACCGCTAGCTTGTATGATATATTGGGTAGAGCCAACGGCTAACTGAGGTTAATATAGGACCGTGGCGCGAGGCCGTAAATTGCAGATTCGCTGGAGCAATGCATGCCTGGCTCGTCGGAAAGTGCCGCAACTGGAAAACCAACAAGTCTGGAGGGTGGTTGAGATATGATAATGGTTTAATTACTAATATGTACCACACCTAGGCGTAAGCTATGGTCTTAAAAAATTGGGGCTGGTGATTATTTAGTTTAACTTCCATGCAAAGGTGGCGGTTTATAATTACTTAATCAATAAAATGGTAACTGGATCGATCTAGATATGTTGTTTTATGGTGTTTCCTAGTGAATGATTCGTTTCGTATCTCGAAAGTCGTTGTTGTGGATAGTTTTTGGCAGGTCAATGTAGCATAAACGTTCCCACCGGGGTTTATGATGTTCGAGTAAGGTTAATCTGTCTACTGTGTGACGCCAATGGTATAGTATAGTATACTAAAGCACGGATCATGATGATATCCATGAAAACAGAGATAATGAGATGTGATTCCGTGATCGTAAGTTACAGGGAGTGCAAGCTCGGGCCATGAGCAAACAATGTTTGAGCTCAGACTGGTGACTAAGGGGGCACGGCCATGGTATTGTACGGATTGGGGCTTGGCAAGTGCAGACGAGAATCTCTGACCAAGCTAAGCCCTTTTTCATTATCAGTGTATTACTTAAGCTTAACGGAGGTCGTTTGGAGTTAAGAGTTTTCATTCATCATTTTCTGAATTGATCATCATGTGGTCTGGTAGATGCTTTCAGAAATAATAATAGTGTTTTATTTCATTTGACTAATATACCAATATGTATGTGCCCACGGTGGATCTGATGATATTACCAAATAAGAAAGGCTCAGATTAGGTAGCTGTGTTCCGCGCACAGACAAGAACTAAGTCCTTCTCAACTACACTATGCATGAACATCGAAAGTTTGCATAAAGCGCATGCAAACTCACTAAGGCTAATTATCACTTCCAGTTTTCGATAGAAGCCTCTAGGACAGCGCAAAGTTCTATTTAACAAATACAGAAGCTCAAAAATAATCATGTCGATTACCGAGTGATTATTGATATAACGTAGCAAACCGGGGCATAGTCAGGTAGCTATCGCTAGTGGCCTCTACCTCTGGCAGTTTTCATCCACTGATATGCTAATGCAGGTCATATTTCTGCCAGTCGGTGTTGATTTACTGGAAGTTGAACTAGAAGTTTCAGGTCAGCAGGACTCACAACTACCTTGGCAACGGAGTTGCGCCAGAGGCTACTATTGTGTATTGAAAACTCATATCGCTTCTAATGAACGCATCTTGGTCGGCACAGGATATTTTTAAGCCCGCTGGAATCATCTTTGCCGGATTTACCGCCTTTTTATAAGACCGCTTGATCTGCTCGGATGACTTCTTTTGAAAATAACCTCATCACACACTACACTTTTAACAATTACACCAACTACCAAAACACTGACCTTCGATGTCGATTCAAGAGGTTGAAAGCTACAACTTTGGTATCACCCAGGAGGAACTCGGCAGCATTGAAATCACCAGGCGTCTGCCTCGCGACTCCAAAGGCGAGCTTGTCAAGTTTGGGGCAATAACCGCAGGTCTTAAACTACCCGAAATTCCCAGGCATAAGCTAGTTGAGGGAGTCATACACAAGCGAACCTCTGCCCCGATCGTGGCTATTCCTGTTACATTAGGGGGCGCGGTGTATGTTCACAAGAGTATATACTTTGTCATTAACCCCAAGTCACCATTTAGCTCTCTTGGAAAAATGGTAAGTGTTCAGTTACAGCCCGTTATAATAACTAATAGCTACACATAGGCTTTTGACGTTCTCTTCGGCAATGCCGACTTGGTAAGGAATCACTATAACCTCGAAATAGCAGGGATTGCCATGGATTTTATAGTCTCAGATAATCCGGCAGGAAACGTCCTAGGCGCAAACTTTTTGCATCTTACGAATATGTACATGTCTATCGATCATGCCAACGATGTGGTAGAGTTATTTCTACGACAAGCCTTTACCGAGAATATTAGACTGGCGAAACCTAATTTTTAATTCTCTACTAGAAGAGAGAAATACAAGGTCGTGTGTTTAGCAAACAAAAAAAGTGGATAGTACCGATCAACCAACCACACAAACATACCACAAATATGCAAGTTAGGACAATGGCTATATGATCTCTTTAAGAATAATTCCAATGATTACTTTGTCCCGTGCCCAGCCCTGTAGTCCTCGATAAACCCCAGAACCTCATTCAGCCGTTTTTTTGTTGTGATTCTTTCACATGTCCATCGCTGCCATATTTTCCCGCTTGCTCTTATAATCTCCTCATTTCACCAATGAAATATCCATTCCTCTCAAACACGTCATGTACACCAAGCTAGAGCTTCTGCTCTGTTATATCATAAACAATCTTTACTTGTCGGCTAGAAGAAATTCCAGTCAAGCACACTCTCATCATAACTGACGCTTCCTGTCCAGTCCCACGGGACATCGTAACTGCCTATAGCTGTGAAGCTTCTACCTCTTGAAATTCTAGCAGGGGACTGCTTCTTCTACTCTCTAGACTACTAGAGCCTCAGTGTTGAAGATATCACATTTGCACCAGTGGTCATTCGGTTTTGGCCATGTGGACTTCTGTCTCGTAGCATCTCATAGCCTTTATTCTGCTTTTATCTTTCTCTCCCTACCCACTGAACCGAACAATACAAAACGATCTTCAACACTCAGCACCTTGGTCGAAACACATGCCCTTATTACACATTATGCCTTTTGCAGCCCTCATCATCTCATTAATACACACTAGGTTTCATTCATCTCAAACATTTTAGTAGACAATCCTTGTTTACTGTAACACTACTTCCTTTTTCTACCCACCTTGTGCACGTTTCCAAGACTTCCTTGAGACGACCAACCAACCTACAGGCACCAATTCCCTACTCAAAGACGGGCCAGAGTCTCTCCACTCCACTCTACTTCATCATTTCTTTAATCTTCGTCGCTTTTACGATTCTCAGAGAGGCGGCCCACCATGATTCGGTTAGTCCCATCATCTTTGGGGATCTAGCTCGTCGTATGGTCGATGAACAGTTAAGATATGAACATGGACGGCGTAATCTGAGAATCCTTATTCGATTTTTTCTTTAACGTTATAATACTTCCACATTGACAGTACGAGCGCAGCCGATGGCTAGGTCTTGCCAAGTCTTAAATAGTGTTGTCGATAAATCTGTCTCCTAGAATTTCACATGAACCACAAACTGTCTCCTTACGCCACTCTCTCTTTCTATATAGGTCCTGGATGTCGCACTACCCAGTTATTGTCCTGACTATACCAAGCTCGATATAATCGGTAATGACTCAGCCACACAGCCTTTCCAATCGTCTACATTTCTGCACGTCCTCCAAACTACCACACCCCCTCTAGCCTAAAAAATAAACATTAAACCCCGAGCAAAAAGGCAAAAGGGATAGACAATGGACTTGCCCGGAATCGAACCGGGGATCTCCTCAATGCGAATGAGGCGCATTACCACTGTGCCACAAGCCCGTCTGATGATGATTCCACATGGACGAGGCGCCCTTATATATCACAGGCACGTCACAGGCTCATGTAGCAGCAGTCATGAATGCGAGACTGCTTGAGTGCGTGTGTTGGTTTATTTGCCAGTTTGGGCTGGAGTAACTAGCTTGGGTTTGATTTTTGAATGAGCTCGGTTTTGGATGGAACTTGGGCCATATGATGGAGTTTGAGCTGGAGGAGGTTCGAGATGGACAGACTACACTCGCTCTATATCAGAGCCCAGACCGATACTCTGTCCGAATCCATGCTCCGCCTGTTCTATCTCACCACTTCGTCTCCACCCGCCGATATCCTCGATATCCTATCTGCCGCGACGCAGTAGGCAAGGCCGTACTCCACCCGCTCCGTCGTACTCGACCCGCTCAAACACTCAGATTTTCTGAAATTGGGGTCCCCTCCAGAAGCAATTCGCTCAAAGTCTGTTTATTAAATAGATGGATATCTCGCCTGTCAATTTTAGAAATAGATAGTCTATATTTGTGAAGTATATAAGCCGTTTATTTTGGTCCCAACCCCAGTAATCTAGATTCTACCGATTTCGAGATTACATTTACACGGACGTGCACAACGAAATTATTTAAACTGGAGCGGGAACAGCTCGATATAAATTGAATTCCTGTCATGACAAGCTAAGCCCTGAGATTTTCAACCAAACCAAGTTAATAACCGCTTGAAAGGGAAACGGGAACAGCCGACATAAAATGATACTGTCAGGGCGAGCTCAGCAATGGGCTTTTTAACCAAACCAAGTTCGTCACGGCTTCAAAAGAGGACAGAAACAGCCAGACATAAAATGAATGACTGTCGGAACAAGCAAACCACTGAGGTCTGGGCTTTTTAACCAAACCAGATTGATAACTGGTTGAAGGTGAACGGGGACAGCCAGACATAAAATGAATGACTGTCAGGACAAGCTAAGCCCAGTGCGCTGAGACCCAGTTCGGGTTTTATAGAATAGATATGCCCTGTGGCATGTTTGACGATGTTTTGTTTCTTCTAAAACGCAGTGCTGCAGCGCACAGTATTTATGGGCGCAAGGGCCGACTGTTTCGAGGGAGCGGGATTAGTCATCGGTTCAGTTGTCAAATTTCCACTACGTTTTGAAACTCTCTGGAATGCTGCTTCTAACGATCCTCATCTTGAAATTTTCTACTTACAAACATATCTGTAGGGTACGGCCACTCAATTACCTATCGTATTTTGGGTCCTACGTACAAAATCAGGCATCACCATAGTCAACATCATCGCTGTCACGCACCATCACTTCATTCTGAACCTCCTAGACTTTGTAGCTACACCGAGAAATTGTGATCCGGGGCGGATCCCATTGAAGATAGCACATCTGCAGGTACCAGTGGTCATTCGGGTTTTGTCATGTCACATGTGGGTTCAGGTCTCCTGGTGGGGTCTCATCCCCCTTATTCTGCTCTTTGCTTTCTCTTCCTGTAGAAACAACCTTACAATCGAACAAGATCATTCTCTCATATCCCAGAGATTTAAGAGCATGATTTGTACAACATGGCACCTAGAGGGTTCCAACAACTCGACTATAGTATTCTAGAACCAAACTCTGGAGTCTGCCGAGATACCTGCAGCCTGCCGTAGAGATCAAGTCAAGCCGTTGAGATCGAGTGTTCGTTAGCTGGAGACTAGCTATTTTCTAAGCTTTACTAATATCTTGTTGTGCAGTGATCTTTAGATGGCCCGACACCTGTGTACCGTGGTGGTTGCCGGATGAAAATACTAGTACATTCATGAATTACAGCGGATATTTTTGTGCGCTCACCTTTATCATAGTGAAAATAACTACCTATGATGAGTTATTTTCACGTGGGGATATATCTCAAATCGTTCTTTCGTCATGGTAAAATTTTGGGTAATTGTTATCGCGGCATGAACCACGGGGTTGTGCTAATTCCCACATTTGAAGACTGTTCGGCAATCATCATCAAAGCTAAATTCAAACTAATTATCGAAGTCTCAGATTTATTCGGCTGACGGAAAGTACTGTTTGCGCTGAGCACGATCGATCAGAGGTAAGCTTATGGCATTGCCAACAAACTACAGCTTTCCGACTTCCGCCGAACTCACGACAATGCACGGTATCAATCACTCGCACAGTGGGTTAGGTTTCAGGCGCCGACCATTCCAGAGCCAGCCCTCAGGCCAGCAGGCAGCAGACAGCAATTCCCACCATCTATCTGGCCATGCGACCAGTTCTGCCGGCGCACTATGACCTCAGGGCCCGTCTTCGCCTATATATCTTGGAGCACGTCTGTGCACCAAACTACCGGGTTTTCGTCTATGCTAGGGAACAAAACTCCCGCAAGTCCAAGTCTCCCGGCTACGTAGGTAGGTCTCCAGGGTCCAGCATGCAAAACTGGGTCTGTAGTGGTTCGCAAGCTGGAACTAAGATCTATGTATAGAGCTTATCCCCGCCATTTGTTTGGTGTGGAGGCCGCCGCCGGCTCTGGATAAACAGACGGATCAATGTATTCGGCTGCCTACGAGGCCAGCCAACGAAACGGTCGCGTTTAAATGGCACGGGCAACGCGGGAGCGCGCTTGCTTCTAGCTGGCGCACCATTGGTGGCTGGCCTGCAGCGCTGATTCGTTGCCCTGTCGTTCTTATCTACATATCTATCGTTTTTCGCAGGCTGCGCACTGCATAAACAATCCTTCCACCCACACCCAGCAACCAGCAATGAGGGGCACACACACGCAAAGGAGAAAAAAAAAAAAAAACACGTCAGAGTGTGGGCAGAGCGCAGCAAAAAGAGGAAACGGGGAACAGATATATAGCCAGCAGCCAGATCGCGATCTGCTTAAGATTCTGAGATCCTGCACCTCCCGTCCTAGCTCCGGCCGTCGCTTTTATGATATTCGATTTATGGATTTTCCGCCGCGCCAGAAATAATTTGCGGGATCCGCGCCATTCATTGGGCGGCGACGCTCCTGGGCCATCGACTTTCGTTCATCCAATGTTTCGCGGCTGCCGCCACCTCCACCCCGCGCACCCTGAAGACTGCCGGATCCAATTAAACGGCCGCGAAATCAGACAATGTTTTGCAATACCGTGCGTGCATCGAGGGATGGGAGCATGGGCCGACAATCAATGACTGTGACGACTCGGTAATGCTGCGAGACTCAGAGCGATGCGTTGTTCTTCCACGAAACGGGACGGAAACAGCGGGGGAATCTTCCGGTGCGGGGCGAAGCGTGTACCTGGCTGGTGGCCGCTGCGGTCGGAAGATCATTATTCCATCCAGGCCTAGCTATGACTCGATTGTTTGTGTGGCATGGCCACTGGCGAACAGGAACACACGAATATGCGAACCAACTGGCGACCCAACACCCTAACATCCTCATTGACGAATGTTTTCTATCTACCTAGTCGGAGAAATATCCCATCGCGATAAGGTTGGACGGTGTGTACTACCGGCGGCGGGGTCGTGGTAGGGCAACTAGGCATGCCACTCGAGGCTCAATCTCTATCACAGGCTGGTGTCGTTCCGATAGCTATCAGCACATACTCATCACGTCCAGTGCTACTGCGCTTCAAAATAGCTCTCCAGCGATGCGAAAAAAAAACCAGATCATTACTCCATCAGGGCCCTCCCATCCGGCGCTGCAGGACTTCGAGATGCAGGGCAAAGTGTGCACCACACACCCACCTAGCCAACAATCGCAGTCCACTATCGGTATATATCATTTCACAAACAACAAACAAACACTCAAGAATGTTTCCGGGGTTGGCTGATATTGTCAAGAAGGCCGCAGCAGCCACAGCCGCAGCCCGCATACATGGGGACCGGACCTTGACCCGCCCTTGACCCACTCGCTCTTTCGAGACCCTCCCAGCAGCCAGGAGAATCATCTGCATCGTTTCCCGCCATGCAGAAGGTGGAAACAAAACAGATATATGATAGAAACAAAGTTGTGGTTCTAGGCCCTTCCAGCTGGCCATGATGATGATGATTATGATGATGATGGTAGATGGCTTTGATGCAGGGCTCGTCGACATACGTATGTTGTCCATCGACACCTACTATGCCAGCTCCTCAGCATGACAGTACCGCTGCTGTCAGCTGACCCGCCAGCACTACTACCACTACTATCAACACTGTTGTTCGTTTCCACACTATCTTCGGGGTAGGTAGGGTGGGGAGTGGTGGGCGGGGGTGAGCGGGGCGGGGCGGGGTTTCGCACACATTTTGTTTTGTTTTTCCAACTGCAGATCTGGCGGTGGATAAGCTTTCGAAACACAACCGGCCGAGCCCTGCGTACGAAACACATCTGTCTCGCGCGCTTCGGCCTGTGTAACCTCCCCATCCATAGATACATATGTACTCTACTCTACTATGTATGTACTCTACATTATACCGATCGATCTGCAATCCCCAAAATAGCTCCCTGCTACACAGAGCCTCACTCGCCTGTCCCGTGTCTCAGTCCGTCGTCTCTCTCTCTCTCTCGCGTCCGTACCACCGTCCCCGGATCTTCCTTCCGCTGCAACACGCCCCATCTATCGCCGCTCACGCATGTCTCGCCGGCCTGCCCTCTCCCACACCGCATGGCAATGCATGCATGCACACACCCATCCAGCGCCTCCGCTCCGGCCCTCCGCGGCAGCGTGCGCGCGCCGTCCTCAGTTCACCACATCACGCGCCGCCGTACGTGCAGCCCGGGTGTCCGCTTTGATGCTGTGGCTTGATGAGTCCTGTCGCAGATCCGCCAAGCTCGCCAGCTGCAGGTCACGATTGCGATTGTCGTGGGCGTGGTGATGGGGAGTGGTGGTGGGCGTGGTGATACTGGGGAGTGGTGATACACGCGCGCGGGGCTAGGCGCGATGAGGGCGGGCTAGTGGATCTGGGTCGCTCGCGAGGTGGGCGTGTCGTGCGTGGTGCAGTGCGTGGTGTAGCGCTGTGGGTGCAGTGCAGTGCAGTGCAATGTGTTGGTGCCGAACCG